ATACTAAGTGCTGATCTATAAACAATATGTATCGTACACATTGTTATACTAAAGGTTGATCTATAAACAATATGTATCGTACACATTGTTATACTAAAGGTTGATCTATAAACAATATGTATCGTACACATTGTTATACTAAATGCTGATTTATAAACAATATGTATTATGCACTATTTTATACTAAATGCTGATCTATAAACAACGTATATCATACACATTGTTATAATAAAGGTTGAAATACGAACAATTTGTATCATGCATATTGTTATATATATTAAAAGGTTGGCACAAACATTTCAAAAATATGTGTAGGTCACTAGTTTTCTAGGTGCAATAAATTATGTTAATATTATTTTCTCTATTGTAGTGGAGGAAAAGCAAACTTGATAAGAACTGATGTTACATCCGAAATAATTCAGCTTTTGTGAATGCGTTTAATTAGTTCACGTCTCACTAGATGGTGTGTTTTATTAGTTTAGAAAGTTTAAAGTTATTTATATTTTGTTAGACCACAGTGCTTTGAGACTGACCCCCAGTGGCACAGCGGTACGTCTGCGGACTTGCAACGCTAGAAACCGGGTTTCGATACCAGTGGTAGGCAGAGCATAGATAGCCCATTGTGTAGCTTTGTGCTTCACTTCAAACAAGCTTTGAGACTTTTAATATTTTTGTTATGTAGAACAGTGTTTCTCAACCTTTTCCAATATCACTCACCCCAGTTAGATAAAAACTACTAAATTGAAATGTAAAATTCTTTATTATGACTTAAATATACATCAAATTACAACTAGAATGAATACAACACAAAATAAATTTATTTATCAAAATACAAATAGAATAAATGATAATAACTAATGACTTATTTTTTTTGCTCTTGAATTTGTTGTATTATTGATAATACTTATTCATCCATTTTCTGATCTCATTAACCTCTGGGTGAGCCATTCACCCAGTTGAGAAGCACTAACATAGTGAATAACGTGGGTGTTTATCAGTAAGAAGTTTCTCTACTTGACCGATAGGTGGTGGTACACTTTTCCATCACATTGCATGCAAGGGTGATTGCGTTATATTAAAACACACTCTATGGTACGACTCTAACTAAAGCTGTTTTGTAAATGGTATTAAGTACCATATGTAATATACCATATATATTTTGATAGAATATTAAATGCATATACAACTTAACTTAACTGTCCTGAGGGCCTCGTGAAGTTTGTAAAATATCATGATTGTACTTCCATTGTCGTTTCCAGACGGCTTGACGTACAGTCACTATGTTTGGCATACAGCTTTACTGTGAAGAAATCTATAATTTTAGATTAATAAAATTAATATATTTCGTTTTGAAAACCATAATATTTGGAATACAATGCTTTATGTTACATAAGCTGATGTTTATGTGACATTTTTATATAAGAATCATAGATCTGATAATCATCTATCGTTATAGACAGATAACTGTCAATAATCCTTATAAATTTAATAGAAATCCTGGAAATAGTAATACATATATTATGAACTATTCAAATCTATATAAATATAATATTACTGTCTGTTGTATGTATCTATATAAATATAATAGTACTGTCTGTTGTATGTTATCTATATAAATATAATATTACTGTTTGTTGTATGTATCTATATAAATATAATAGTACTGTCTATTGTTATGCATATATATAAATATAATAGTACTGTCAGTTGTATGTATCTATATAAATATAATATTACTGTCTGTTGTATGTATCTATATAAATATAATAGTACTGTCTGTTGATTGTCCATGTAACTACTTCGCAGGGTGTGGATGGATATTCATCAAAATTGGTATGGAGGTTCGTGCGAAGGTGCATACAAATTTTAAGTTTTGCGGTTTTGTGGGCGTTTTTTACCCCTACTTCGCCCCCTGTTGGTGAATCTATGGCATGAAAGGTTTGTTAGATCCATGCGGAGATACTTGCAAAGTTGCGGTTTCATATTTTGTGTCTTGCAATTTTTATGGAAGTTTTTTTTACAATTACATATAAGGGAAGTAACTTTTCATGTCCTGAGATAACCTTTCATTAACCATGAATTTACATAACTTCCGTCCAGGGGACGGGTATTCCAGTTACTTGTAAATATAATTTACATATAGGCATATTTTATTAATTTCTATGTCTTCAACTTGAAGATTTTATCTTTATTTATTTAATGCCCCAAAACAGAAACTTTTAAATTATTCTTTAAAATTACCTAAGATTGTCAGGATATGTTATTTTCCTTGAAGAAAGACAAACATTTTGAAAATAAAATATTATTCTGTTTCTTTCTCATAACAGCGAGATAAACCTAACAGTTTACCGATCACTGTATTGTTTCTGAAGAATAGCTAAAAACAGTAAAAGATTGAGATAAGTATTTGAAATAAATACAAAATTCTGAACAGAATCGTCACATATCTTGTTTTTACTTGCATGCTTGGTTTCAGTACCCGTGGTAGGCACAGCACAGATAACTCATTGTGTAGCTTTGTGTTTTTATTTGTATGCTTGTTTTCTATGTTTATTGTGTGGCTTGTGTTTGCCTTATTATGTGCTTTGTGGTTGTTTTCTTGTATACTTTTGTGTTTTTACTTGTGTGCTTGTTTTTAATATTATTTGTGTTTTTACCACCACAAATTAGTTACCGCCTGAAAAAGAATTATCAAACGACATCTTGTATTAACCCTGTCTTCTGTCTGTGAGCCCTAATTAAAGTTCGTATTGTCTTTTTTTTAATCTCTCTCTATGGTACAAAATATAATGTTAAGTGTTCTGTCTAAATTGTCGGATGTATGAGCATCATGACTACAAAACTATTAAGTTTTAACAGCGTAGAAAATTGTTTTCCGTTACACTAATTTAAATACTTTATTAACTAAATTTGTTTATATGTTTAATAAGCAGTCATGGAGCTTATATATTCAGTTATACAACTGTTAGAGTGTCTATGACTTTACATTTTTCTAAATCATAATTGTTTTAAAACATTTATATTTCTAGGTTGTTTAAATTCATTGTTTCCTGCATATGTTTTTAGTGCAGATATTTATTATAGAAAAATTGATTATAACTAATAAAACTTGAACAAAAATTACGTTACGATTATTTGTTTTGGGGTTGTAGGCATAATTATCACATTATAGAGTAGATACGAAATTCGCATTCTTTTCGTGTTTGCCGATGTGTGCTAGTCAGCGCCATCTTGCCGCGGGCACTGTTCTTAGTTGTAACATACTTGCTAAATACAAATAGAACAAGATAAACCCAAATAAACTTTACTATGGACATAACACATTATAATGGGTATGGTATACTTAAAACAATAAGAAACGTTACTAACATTCTACTCTTAATGTACTGTAGTATGTAAATACAATATACCAAAAACTTAAACAAATGTTGTTTTTTTCAGAATAAAATACTCCTTTTTTTTTTGCTTTATATATTTCTAAGGATATTGTAACATCGTTTTACAAATACATTGAGTACACTTACATAAAACAACACGTTGTTTCTGCTTTCCTGTATTTAATCAGTTTGATGTATCTCTGAATCTTTCTTTGATTTGCATTTTAACGATTTCTTTTTATGGATGAGATAAAAATTTGTTATGTGTGCCAGGCCTTTCAATCCGTGATTAAATAAAGCTGGAAATATTACTTGTAGATCTATGTCAAGGCAACTGATAAGGCGCGTTTTATAACAAAGGTAGTTAATTGTTATAATGAACAAACAGACAAATGCATTTCTTGCATCTCTTGAACTGTATTCATCAGTTATTCGATTTGTAAAAAAAACATAGGTTGGATTAAACATTCTGTTAACTAAGTACTATTTATAACTTATCCAAAGTACGGAGCGCGACTTATCTTGGTCTTTTGCTGTCACGGGACGCGAACGTTTGATTAGCAGGGGAATAGTTTGGCTTTTTGACCTACGTAAATGAACCTTATAATAAAAATCTGGAATGTGTGGTTACTAAAGAATTGCATTTACCTGCATCATATCTGCTGAGTGTCATGAATAGTCGTGTAAATGTAGTGATACGAACGTCATGAAGTATAGACAATGTGCGCAGGCGTTAGAGTTAACAGTTATCGCTTTCCTTTGAAGAAATAGTGTGGCTTTGGCGTGGAAACAGAGTCAGTGTTGATCGCGTTTGATTTATTTTGCTCTCTGATTATGAAAGATTTCCAGTACATCTATTCGATTAAATCAACTATAATGGAATGATATTTGGTCGAAAAATAAAAACACTCTGATCGGAAAATGCCGTATGTAGTACACTGAAGTTTGTATTGAAAATATTAAACGTTCTGAACCACAAAGTTTGGCGGCTGAAGTTTATAATGTAAGTATACATTGTATTTCTAACAATCATGTTTATTTTTCATTTACTTGTACGACTTCTGAATAATAAAATAATTGTTACAGGTAGACTTATATCCTTTGTTTCTATCACGTGACATTGACTTATACCACGACAGCAGTGCTCAGGACCTTTAATCGGGACGGGTAAATACATTTATATAACCCACATCAACACATGCATATACATAATGTGCATATAATAAGCATTCGTCAAAATGACTGAGTCCGTAATGAGGGGCCGTGACCCCCTTGTGTACGCTCCTGAATCTTGAACTTTCTTATACAGTAGGAACAGACGAGTTAGACCACAATACGAGATCCGATATAATAATCAGTAATCATACAGACTGACATAGTGATTACAGGAACTAAAAAAACGTTTATATTACTAAGAAGTAAAAAAAAGAAAATGTTTAATACTAGTTTAGGGCAGTGACAATACCCCCTCCCCCACAAACATGTAGATTTATGATCAACTCAAAGCATGAGGATGGCTATTCTACCTTTAGTACAATCTCCATGTGTGAGGGTGAAACCACTACGAGTCTTAATGGAAAATTTATTACAATATAAATATGTACGCTGCGAAACAGTTTAAATAAAACTCTGAATATGACTTGTCCCGTTGTTTTATCTGGAAAACAAATTACAAATTATGAAACTTGAAAAGTCTTAAGTACCCAGCTGAAAACAATTCGATCATGATTGTGGGCGGATGTCTTAGCGTTTGTATTGCATTGGCCTTAAAAACTATACATGCAATGTCATAATATAATTGAAATATTTCAAGGAACAATGGCAGCAAATAGTTGTCCACCCACGATCTTTGATTTTAAAGTAACATTTTTTAACGTTCTAGAATGATCTAGTAAATCAGCAGTAATTGTTCCATTTATAGTTTCCGTGTTTCACTGAAAAAGACACATTGTAAACTTTCACTTTTTCGATAAAAATAAGAATTCCGATCACTAGAGGGCAGAACCTCTTTATTGTAAAACGCGTAGCTTGGAGTTGGAGTAACTACAAGACTTCTGTTTGAAAGATTCAGTTCCTGGCAATTAAATACTACTGTAATCGTATATATAAACCCTAAGTTTTATTACTGGTGTGTTGGAATAGCTACACAACTTCTATATTTGGTGCGTTTCATGTAGTATATCACTATCACAAGTAAAGTTGATAAATTACAACCGCTACATTTCCGTGAACAGAATGGTGAAGTACCATTACAACTATCTGCATTCAATAAGGATCGCAGTTAGCTGTGATAAGGATATTATTATATCTCGTGAATAACGTATCAGGGAAAAATTTTCAACTGCTTCAAATACTTTGAACATGTTATTTTTAGTTGAAAAAAACTGATATTTTTAATTATGCTGGTTTATGGAATTTTCGCGTAAAACTGTCCGCTCAGCATTCTTTCATTTTGAGATGATAAACTAGAGGAAAAGCAGCTAGTCAACAGCACCCACCGCCAACTTCTGTTATCTGACTGAACAGTGAGTGTAATTTGATCGTCATTCTGATAGCGTACCCATAGTTTTAAAGTGCAGAGCACGTTTTTGTGGTAACGGGACGCGAATTGGAATCTTAGTAATCCCAGTCCGAGCAAGTCAACCATTTTAAATACGTTGTGCCATTGTTTACATGTTCCACAATTGTCACAAAAGTGTGGTTTTGAACAGCTGAAGAACCTGACAAAGAAACGATTTAGTGTTTCAAGACGTTTCTAGAGCTGATTTTTATAGTTTAAAGGTTCGAATTTTTGTAGAAATCGTCAGGAATCAAATTAATTTATTACAGTTGTTTTAAGGTACTGGTTTTGATAAAAATCAAATTTTTTTCAGAATTAAAACCTCAAAAACACTTGTAAATTTAGTAGTAGGATGTGACGTATTTTCTAAAGTCTTGATCTTCTACAGTCTCCAAACCTAAATAATACCAGAATGCTAGAAACAAACTACTTGCAGACACTGGTAATACAATAAAGACGTTTTGATTCCCATTTTTTCTCATTATTAATCTTCTTCATTTATCGTAGTACAATGTTTATATCCGGATATTCGTAGTTCATTTTCCTCGTTATTTAGTCTGTTTCATTTATCCTCGCACAATATTTTTCTCCGGATATTTTTAGTTCTTTTTTTCCTCGTTATTTAGTCTGTTTCATTTATCCTCGCACAATGTTTTTCTCCGGATATTCTTAGTTCTTTTTTCCTCGTTATTTTGTCTGTTTCATTTATCCTCGCACAATATTTTTCTCCGGATATTCTTAGTTCTTTTTTTCCTCGTTATTTTGTCTGTTTCATTTATCCTCGCACAATATTTTTCTCCGGATATTCTTATTCTTTTTTCCTCGTTATTTTGTCTGTTTCATTTATCATTGCACAATATTTTTTCTCTGAATATTCTTAGTTCTTTTTTCCTCGTTATTTAGTCTGTTTCATTTATCCTCGCACAATATTTTTCTCCGGATATTCGTAGAGAGTCACTTAAAACATTATGAAAAGTGCTGTTGGGTGACTATTATTTTATCACACAATCAACAAACATTCATACCTTAGAGAAAACGAGTTCCATACACTACTGTAAAAATTGTTACATACACCACTTTAACATAGTTTACGATATTAAAATCACAGTTTGTAACCTAACGCGATTTGAGCTGACGACAAGGTGCAGTAACAAGTCATGCGAAACACTTTTTAGGGAGAAGTTTTGCTCAATTACAAGTTATCGATATGTAGCGCCTCATACCGGACAAGTATAATCTAAATGTAAAAAAAATTCAATTATTTCTTAATAAAGCTTGTATTAATTGTGATATATGGGATGTACTAAATACTAATTAAATACTTGTTACAATCTAATTACCATTGTTGATAATGCTTACTATTTCATAGATCGATAATAGTCTGTACAGTTGTATGTGATGCAAAAATTAGGTGGAAATCAGTCTAGAACTAACTGGAAAATCTATTTCGTGGACGTTGTAGACTTAAAGCCATCATATTTTCCAGTAGGATATGCTTCGTGTTTTAAGTTTCGTAAGTGAATTAGCTGGAGTTGTGATATTATATTCACTGTGTTTCTTTATGTCCGATTTGTATTTATTTTATTACATTTTCACATTCTCTTTGCTTAAGCCTCAGTTGTTTTTTGTTTAGTGTTTATCTTCATCCAGTAAAGAGATCTGGGGAACTGAGACTTAAGAATGCTCGACGATTTCTTTCTTTTTTTAGCAGAGAAGGTATCAGTTTTATTTATATGTGTTTGTCTTGCATCTTGTTGAGAATACAGATGTATTGTTTGTCTTTCAGTAGTATCGTCATGGCAACTTTTCGGTGTCTCCCTGACTCCAAATCGTTCATCAGATTTGTCATTGCCTTCAATGTACTCTTAACCTTGTTTAACTTTCTCAGTTTCCGTATAACACCCCGAAGCCATTACCCTTGTGTGTTAGTTGAAGACAATAATAAAAGCTATTCTCTAGAAGGATCTCGCAAACAGAAAGTCGCGTGGGTCCTTCCGGCCCATCCTCGACCCCAGGTTTCGACAGAAACACAGAATGTGGAGGTTACTATTGGTAATTGGACAGTAGAAGTTCACGGGAATTTCATGCTTATAAAGAACTACATTCGTGCAGAATTAACACCTGGATTTAACGAAAGTGTAACCTTTACCACACAAGGAACTCACCCATTTCTCCATCATGCTGAAGTTATTTGTCAACGCTGGGACGGACCTTTGTCCGTGGCAGTATATGCTCCTGGTACGGATTTACTCGATGCTATTAAAAAGATTTCCTTTCTTCAACAATGTGGCAATTCTTGTGTCTCGAGGAACGTAAGCTGGCATTTAGTTTATGACCTGAACTTTGGGCCTAGCATAGAAGAATTAAATAATCCAGAAAACATAGCTAGGTTCTTTTCCATAAACTGTACTGCTGGAATGAAAGCTTTAAATTTAAGTTCCAACTTTCGTGAAGCTTATAGGCTATCATATCCAATAAATCTTTTAAGAAATGTAGCGCGCCTCCAGGCAGAAACCTATTACGTACTTTCCTCAGATATTGAGCTGTATCCTAGCGTCAATATAGTCTCCCGTTTTCTCCATCTTGTGGCTGAAGAAACAGGAGTGACAGCAGTTCCATCTGCTCCACGTGTCTACCATTTACCTATTTTTGAGGTGAGTGCAAATCTTCCTGCTCCAGCGACGAAAAGAGAACTGGTATCACTATTGAAGCAGAAGAAAGCAACATTTTTTCACAAACTGACTTGTGACAAATGTCAGCGATATCCTCGCCGTAACGAATGGGTAAAGATCTTACCAAACAACAGTGCTTTAGGGGTTTTCACGGTTACAAAGCGCAATAAATATTTGTCATCGTGGGAGCCAATTTACATCGGAACTAACAATGAACCACTATATAATGAGCACTTGACATGGGAAGGAAAGCGGGATAAAATGAGTCAGGTATAATAACACTTTATTAAAATGAAGAAACATAAAAGTTAATTAACCCCAAAATTACTAACTTCTTAGAATTATGTTGCCTTTAAAAGATGCCACATTTTTATTTATGTGTATTCGGTCGAAAGTTTAGACTGTTTCAAATGTAAAAGTATATATAATCAAATATTGGAATGTGAGCAGAAAGGTACTTTTTTAAAGGTGGTGTTTATGAGTTGTCTATGGAAGCTGCAAGGTGAAAATACAGAGTGGTCCAAAATTATATTTCCTATTTTAAAATTTAATAATTAAATAACTAAAGAAGTACAACCATACAGTTTCATCATCTTGTAGCCCAACTCAAACAGTTCTTATTGTAATATATTTTTCACTCCAGTGAGTAGTGTTAGCGCCCGTAAAATGGCAACTTAATGCGGATATTTTGTTTTTGATATTTAACTACACGCGAATTCCTCCTTCATTTATTGACGTATTTATTTAAAGGTGTTTAACTTAATGCGGACATTTTGTTTTTGATATTTAACTACACGCGAATTCCTCCTTCATTTATTGACGTATTTATTTAAAGGTGTTTAACTTAATGCGGATATTTTGTTTTTGATATTTAACTACACGCGAATTCCTCCTTCATTTATTGACGTATTTAATTAAAGGTGTTTAACTTAATGTTTTTGCAGATGTACGAGTTATGTCTTCTCAACTACGACATTTATACCCTGGACAACGCCTTTCTCGTGCACGCTCCTGGCATCAAAAGATCAAACAAAAAAGATCAAAAGTGGCGCATGCCATATATAAGAAAAAATAACAGAGTTTATTCTCGTATTTTAAAAGATTTAAGAGATAAATACGGTTATAGAAAGGATTGCTAGCGATATTTTATTTGATATTTATATTGTAGATATTTTTGGTTCTGACGTATTCGTGATATTATTCCCCATATAACAGTTAATTAGGAACAATTTCAGAATCATTACAGAGTGATTTTAAAAAGTGTAAACTTATTAATTAAATTAGTTCAACAACACCGGTTTATTCCATGACTAGCCTCAGCTGAAGTGAGAACTTTTTATGTTCCTATTTAAATTATATATTTTATTTCATCTCATACAAATGGGTTTTCCTTTAATGAAACGATTTGTTGTTACCCTGGTCTAGAATTATTTTTACCCTTCTGTTTGAACAACTGGACATATATCTCGACGTATAAATATTTTTATACTTAGGTTCTAATAGATTTTTAGCACACATTCAAACATTGTTGGAAATTATACAAGAAACTCATGTTTATTATTATAACTACAATGACATGTAATAAATAAACAACGTTGTTAATAGCAACAGTATATAATGTGGAATGTCTTAGAAGCTAATTTATTTCCCCGAACTAGTCTTAGAAACTAATTTATTTCCCTGAACTAGTTTTAGAAGCTAATTTATTTCCCTGAAATAGTCTTAGAAGCTAATTTATTTCCCTGAAATAGTCTTAGAAGCTAATTTATTTCCCTGACATACTCTTAGAAGCTAATTTATTTCCCTGACATACTCTTAGAAGCTAATTTATTTCCCTGACATACTCTTAGAAGCTAATTTCTCTCTATACAACATGGCAGGAGATAGCTTAAACCGGTTTCAATCGCGTCTCGCTTAAAATCAAGACCAATTAGTGCATCACACAAATAATTTTGTACCGAATAGTTATTTCAGTTATCAGAATTATCATCTTTATATTACTGTTTAACATCATTACATTCACTTATCTTCCATTGCAGACATTCTTTAGACATTGCAAATTTGTAGTTCTTCGCCAGATTATTCTACACGAACAGTAGCACAAAGATTTTTTTTTATTTTTTGCAAACTGAACAAGTATCGTTTTAAGGAAAACTAATCCACTCATGTAGATCCAACAAGGCGGAAATTATAGATTCATATATCAACAAGCCAAGTACTAGATCTACACACGAATAGAATCAAATCAACAAGACGTAGCTTAAATCAGAAATATCAGGCCCACACCTGAATCCACTCAAATCAACAATACGTAATTTGAATCGGAAATACTAAAATCACGTGAATCCATTCAAATCAATAGGACGGAAATGCTAGGTTTACTCATGAATCCACTCAATTCGACATGGTAGAATTACTCAATCTACACATAAAAGGATTCCATCCTGCCACTCATTGGTTTAGCTTGCTTCACAAAATAAAGTTGTAAAATGAGTAAAGCGAAAGTAGAAACGCTTATCCTTTTTTAATTTCTACTAATTTTATAAAATTTACACATTAGTTTAATTTTGATTTAAACTAAAATTACGGTTACATCAGTTGAATTTTTATTATTATTCTTTTAGTATCTAAGGGTAAATGTAATATATAACTTTTGACTTACATCCCGGTGGCTCAGCAGTAAGTATGAGATAGTTGCGAGGGCAGAGCACACATAGTCAGCCCATTGTGAAACTTTGCGTTTAAGAAACAAACAAAAACAATCTCGAAAAACATTTCATAACAAAAGGAAAATAAAAACGAAAGTATATGAAGAATTAACTTGTTTCTAATACTTTGCAGTTGTGGTGTATGAATATATATACCACGGGTTTTTGTTGTAATATTACAGTATTGATTCTAAATTTACTCATTGTCCTGTATATGTGCAGATTTTCATATAACACATGGTCGAGAAAGTCGTTTAGTCCTAAGCTACCTTTGTTTCTTTGTTGTTCTTCAATTGGATGATACCTATTTCGCCCAGATAGGGTATTGCGCATGTTGTACAAGGGGCCCTGCATGGCCAGGTGGTTAGGGCACTCGACTCGTAATCTGAGGGTCGCGGGTTCGAAT